TGAACGATTTACATGCATTGATGAATGTAATGGAGATGGAGAGGGAGGTTGAAGACGACGATGATGCTCTCATGGCGAGAGCCGAGATCGATACAAGCGCTCCTTTTCGGTCCGTGAAGGAAGCCGTTTTGTTGTTTGGGGAGAAGGTCTTGGCTGGGGAGATTGCTAATAAGCTCAACGAGGTAGGCTCCAGACTCTTCTTTCTCTGTTATTTTCAAAAGCTTTTTAGCACAACTTAAAATCTTATGTCTAGTTAATCGGATATGTTGATGCCGGCGTGGATTGCATCATGTCATGTTCAACAGTGTGGTGTGATTCATGCCGTCATCTAGTAGAAATTATTAGATGTGAATTCCATTGTACTTGGGTTGTATTGGTTGTTTAAATATAACCAATACAACATCAAAATCCGCTCCTTGCACCTAATAATTTTTTGTCATCCACACATCCGTCGTCTGGATGTAATATTTTCTTCATCAGTTACCTAATTAAATAAATTTTGTATGTTTATCAATATAGTATTATATAAATATTAATTTTCAGAGTAATTTTGTATAAATCTATATTTTTCCAATTTTGCTACGGATATTTTTGTACATGTTAGCTTGATTGTAGTTTACTGAAGCATTATGGAAGAGTAGGAATTACATGCAAGCATAAAACTTGGGAAAGGTTATCACTTGCAGAGTTTTCAACCCAAAAACAGAAGCAATAAAATACTGTTTTTTTTTAAGCAAATTTAGAATCTATGCCTGTTTGCTTAAATTGTTCTAACACAATAAGGTTCAGCTAGCCACAAACAAGAAATAGAGAACAAAATCTGTAAAAAAAAAAACAAAAAAAAAAAGAATAAATCAAATTGATTTAAATATTTCACCAGATTTTCTTCTCTCCTGCTTTTCTGTAAAATCAGATGAGGGTGACAGGAAACAGGAATGAGCAGAGCGGCTCTCGCTTTGCCTCCCTTGCAGCAGAACTAGAAGAAACAAAACAAAACCTTGAGAAAGCAGAAGAAGAAAGATTAGAAATGGCAAACTACCTCACCTCTCTGATACAAGAGCTAGAGGAAACAAAGACAGAGCTCAAACAACTGAAAGCTAGAGATTTGGAGAAGCCAAGCATAGATCCAGAGATTGAAGACATCAAATTTGTAGAAAATACAACAGAAATTGAGATCGAAGGACCAGTAGTCAAGGAAGATATTGGAACTCAAAGAAAGAAGTATGTCAAATTCGCCAACCCACCATCTCTGGCAAGAGTCATGAGCACCGAGGAGCAAGTTTTGGATAGAAAATTCTCGATTGGAAGGGAAACATTACAGATGAGAAACAAACAGAAGAAGAAGAAGAAGAAGCCACTTCTGCCTTTAATCGTATCGGTGTTTTTGAAGAAGAAGAAGAGCCAGCAAGGTGAAGCACCAGTTCGAGCTCATGGGATGCAGACAGCTGTATGAACATTTGGTTTGCTGCAAAGAGATTATAGTGAACATATTCTATTGAAATAAGATGAAAGTAACATTTGTTTCTTCATAAATAATTGTGTTTGAGGAAGATTGGGTTTTTTGCTAGCATAAGCATTGATTTGGCTGATAAAATCAATTTGATCAAATGCAAATTTTCACTTAGATTTTGAATAAAATAACTCGAGTTTGAATTTGAAAATTTTTATAAGTTATTTTAGATTACAATTTAAAATCTTATGTCTAGTTAACCGGAGATGTTGATGCCGGCATGTATTGCATCATGTCGTGCGTTCAACAGTGTGGTGTGATATGCCTATCATCCAGTAGAGATTACTAGATGTAGATTCTCTTGTACTTGGGTTGTATAGGCTGTTGAAATATAACTAATACAACATCAAAATCCGCTCCTTGCACCTAATAATTTTTTGTCATCCACACATCCGTCGTCTGGATGTAATATTTTCTTCATCAGTTACCTAATTAAATAAATTTTGTATGTTTATCAATATAGTATTATATAAATATTAATTTTCAGAGTAATTTTGTATAAATCTATATTTTTCCAATTTTGCTACGGATATTTTTGTACATGTTAGCTTGATTGTAGTTTACTGAAGCATTATGGAAGAGTAGGAATTACATGCAAGCATAAAGCTTGGGAAAGGTTGTCACTTGCAGAGTTTCAACCCAAAAACAGAAGCAATAAAATACTGTTTTTTTTTAAGCAAATTTAGAATCTATGCCTGTTTGCTTAAATTGTTCTAACACAATAAGGTTCAGCTAGCCACAAACAAGAAATAGAGAACAAAATCTGTAAAAAAAAAAACAAAAAAAAAAGAATAAATCAAATTGATTTAAATAGTTCACCAGATTTTCTTCTCTCCTGCTTTTCTGTAAAATCAGATGAGGGTGACAGGAAACAGGAATGAGCAGAGCGGCTCTCGCTTTGCCTCCCTTGCAGCAGAACTAGAAGAAACAAAACAAAACCTTGAGAAAGCAGAAGAAGAAAGATTAGAAATGGCAAACTACCTCACCTCTCTGATACAAGAGCTAGAGGAAACAAAGACAGAGCTCAAACAACTGAAAGCTAGAGATTTGGAGAAGCCAAGCATAGATCCAGAGATTGAAGACATCAAATTTGTAGAAAATACAACAGAAATTGAGATCGAAGGACCAGTAGTCAAGGAAGATATTGGAACTCAAAGAAAGAAGTATGTCAAATTCGCCAACCCACCATCTCTGGCAAGAGTCATGAGCACCGAGGAGCAAGTTTTGGATAGAAAATTCTCGAATGGAAGGGAAACATTACAGATGAGAAAGAAACAGAAGAAGAAGAAGAAGAAGCCACTTCTGCCTTTAATCGTATCGGTGTTTTTGAAGAAGAAGAAGAGCCAGCAAGGTGAAGCACCAGTTCGAGCTCATGGGATGCAGAGAGTTGTATGAACATTTGGTTTGCTGCAAAGAGATTATAGTGAACATATTCTATTGAAATAAGATGAAAGTAACATTTGTTTCTTCATAAATAATTGTGTTTGAGGAAGATTGGGTTTTTTGCTAGCATAAGCATTGATTTGGCTGATAAAATCAATATAAAATCAATATGATCAAATGCAAATTTTCATTTAGGTTTTGAATAAAATAACTCAAGTTTGAATTTGAAAATTTTTATAAGTTATTTTAGAAATTGTTTGTTGAGTTTTTTATTCCAGTAATTATAATTGGGCCCCATAACTCTTGCTTGTACCCTTGTGACTATGTATACTGGGGAGACACACAAGAGGAAGCAGCTATGAAAACATCATTGTTGGAGAAAGAGATGGGGTCTATATGTCAGAAATGATTATATGTACTCAATTACAATGTTTCTTTCTCTTGTTGACTACCCTTTTGTTTTGGGATTGACCTTGTCCTAGACTTAGATTCTTAATATATAGATCTCACATACTCTATTCTTCACTCCCAGGGCTTCTAATAGGCCCTTAGTCAACTTGAACTGAACTAATTTGCATAAGCTTTTCTAAAAGTCCTATAAACTAGATTGCCTATATATGGGACTGACTTTTTTCATTAATTGACAAATTCTAAGATTGACTACCACCCCAAGTAAACCTTACGGATCAGAGTTGATAGGAAATTAATTGTTCTTATTTGATAGATTCTTGTGGTTTTTGGTAAATCCTAGCACTCATCTTCGTCTATGGGGACTTAGACTTACCATAGTACAAAAATATGGTTCTAATCTCTCTCTCTCTCTCTCTCTCTCTCTCTCTCTCTTTTAACTCAAAATAACTATATATATATATATATATATATATATTTATATTGTACATAGCAAAAATTTCACACAAATCTCAAAGGGATTGAGCAGTTAGGAATGGAAACCTAGGCGATCGAACTTTCAAACTAAAGAACTGGATGCCTACATACCGATAGACGACCAACCAATCAACAAACCTGGTTGACAAAACAATCGACTGATGATCCTCTCACCAAAATGAATCGACTTTCTTTGATCAACTGACCAATCCCTTCGGCGTAATCAAACTAATATATATGATCGATCAACATGACCGATCAAATCAAAACTGATCTAGATAAGTCAGTTGGTTGTTTGGTTTGTGTTGTTGGAAAACAACTGATTTGTAGTTGTTTCTAGATAAATGATCATTCTACCTCTGTGCATTAATGTTGTTTGCAACAGAACAGTCATAGCAATATATTTGATACTGGAGAAGCAAAAAATCAATTCATAACAATATAAAAAATAATATACACACTTTACTTAACAGTGAGTATCAATATTGCTAAAAAAATAAAAAATTATAATAAAAAATATGTTAATATTAATTTTAAATTACAGATGTCGTATGTCACGAGTTGCACCGTTCGCCGAGGATATCATCCAATCTCGATCACTATCGACAGTGAAATCTATTGAATTGTCTGCCCACTGAAAGAAGTCACACTTCTTTATGATGCCCCGCGGGCAGCTGTAGAACTATCTCTCGCATTTATGTGCTCGACGTGACGTCAATCAGGAAGTCTGTAGTCCGCAATTGCAGAGCACTCGCCGGGGGTATCTGAATTCCTGGAGCTCATCTTTCCTAAATGATTCAAAAGACAATTCATTAGTCATAACATAAGTTGAAATTATTAAAAAAACTAATTAATTACAATTTTTTGTGGGTGTGAGGTCTCAGAGAACTTAGTATATTAACCAACGAATTTGTCACTACAAGAAGACATCAAACCTTGTAAAAAAAAAGAATTCTTAGTTCTCTTTAGCTCACTTAATACCAAGCTCGTATGTGTCATGTATGCATGAAAAATGTCATTTAGAAGTACCTCAAAAAAAGAAAAGAGGAACTTGATTGCTTTTATCAAGATTTTACCTGTGATACCAACCAACAACAACTAACAGATCATCCAAAAGTACCTTAAAAACCCCAGCATCAAAAAGAAAAGAGGAACTTGGTTGCCTTTATTAGGATTTCACATGTGACGCCAATCAACAATGACTAACATGTCATCCATGAGAACCCACAAGGTCGAACATCTCATCATGAGCCACATAAACCAAAAAAAATCTACGAAAAGAATCAAAAAATGAGAAAAAGTAATTACAAACAGCATAAAACTTCTCATATCTAAAATATCAATAGTACACTACATACTACAATTGTCTCACCCTCAGACACAACACAATCACAGCCCAAGGCAACCACTACACAATCACACCCCCAACTCTCAAACAACCATAGCTCAAGGCCACCAGAACCCACGGACCACCACAAGAGAAGTCACCACACCACATACTACAACCACCTCACCCTTAACACACAACACAACCATAGCCCAAGTCAACCACAACACAACCACACCCTCAACACCCAACACAACCACAACCCAATGAAACCACCACCCACAAGTCACCATAAGAGAAGGCACCACACCACATACCATAGCTACCTCACCCACAGCACACAACATAACAAAAGTACAAGGCAACCACAACACAACCACACCCTTAGCACCCAACGCAACAACAGCCTAAGGCTATCACAACCTACAGGCCACCACAAATGTAAGGCACCACATCACATACCACAGTCACCTCATCCTCTGCACACAACAAAACCATAGCCCAAGGCTACTACAACCCACAGACCACCACAAAAGAAGACACCACACTACATACCACACCCAAGGAAACCACACCCTCAACACTCAACAAAACACAACCTAAGGCCACCACAACCCACTGACCACTACAAGAGAAGGCAACACACTACATATCACAACCATCTCGCCCTCAACACATAACACAACCACAACCCAAGGCAACCACAGACTCAAAACTCAATACAACCATAGCCCGAGGCCACCACAACCCACAAACCACCACAAGAGTAGGCACCATACTACATGTCATAACCACATCACCTTCAGCATTCAACACAACCACATTCCAAGGCCACCACAGCCCACAGGCCACAACAAGAGAAGACACTACACCACATACCACAACCACCTCACCCTCAACACACAACACAACCACAACCCAAGATAACCACAACATAACCACGCCTCATCACTCAACACTACCACAACCCGCATGCCGACACAAAATAAAGCTCCACACCACATACCACATCCACCGAAACATTGATGTCTACAAATCAAGCACACTCTATTTTTCAGCACAACCACACAAACGTCTCACAACAAAATCCAAATGAGAAACCCAAAAATCACACAAAGAAACCATTCCATCAAAAATCACCAATATTATTACTTCCATAGCACCACAACCAGAGATCTTAGGGAGGAGGAGGAGGAGTAAGGCAACGCTCAAGAGAAACACATGAGAGGGAGAGAACCGCGAGAGGAATCGAAAGAGGCACCTAGGGCCGAAGAGACGTGAGAACGGTCGAAAGAGCCACGAGATGAGGGCGGCCACGCATACATTATTCTCTGAATGCGGGTCGAGGGGACGAACCTGTGATCGCGATAAGGTATCTCATCGCTGAAAGCAAAAGCCTACACCTTCATTTTCAAAACGCACTGCAGCAAATAAGCTGCTCCAAACGGACCCTTAAACAACTTGAAGAATTCAAATTTACCATATTTTAAGCTTTTAATTATTTGTATAAACCTCTCATGGTGCTTCTGTAATTTGCTTGATCTATATGTGCTTAGATTTGTATAAACCATTCTCAATCTTTTTAAAGAGCGATTACAATTACTTCATTACTTTCCAAGACCTCACCCCTTACAAATAAAACTCTCTACAATAGCATCACACTCTAAATATTGCTAATGATCAGTGTGAGCATCTATGAAGCATCTATCTAACCAAACAATATAGTCAGCTATGTAGATCAATCTAATCCAATTGGTTTAAGATCTAGATAGGGTAAATTCAGAAACTATGGTTTTTCTGTGTGTATGATTAAGACAAATACACACAATCTATTGTTTTATAATCTACTG